TCGTAAGTTGTCAATTTTGTTTTTTATTTTCGGTGGCGAGAAAAAACCGGCGTGTGCGAGGATATCTATCAATTGATTAGGATGCCGAACCTACTGCAGTTGGTGACGGTCTCATTCTGGCAAAGGATCACCAGATTGATATCGAGTCAGTGGAGACAAGACTCCCTCCATGTTGTTCATGGCCGAGTTTCTTGTTGATGGTGAATGTGGTTCTTGGTGATTGTTTTTCAAGAGACGTGAAATAAAGTAGCCTACGCCGTAGCATCTTTCAATTATTTAGCTTTCGGTTCCATTACTTGGACTCATCGTATTTCCTTATTTTAAATAGCCTCTGGGCCATATCAATTAATGGAAGTATGATTCCATGTAAGAGAGAGCGAGAGTGTGCGCTGATTGCTAATCATTTAGCCCCTATTTTATCGTTTTCTAAAATTATAAGTTGATTAAACTTAATTTTTAATCATTCATTTTATAGGATTCACTGACTTATAATCTCAAAAATTTTTGTAATAGGTGCTTAATGCTCCCTATAACCCACACCGTTCACATGTGCTTTTGCCATAACATTGAAAATTCTAACAAAATTATATGTTGTCATGAATTTACGTAGGATATAGATGAAATAAATAGATAACGCATAAAGGTTTATTACTATTTTTATCAAGATTGATTGTTAAGATGAGACGCTAAGTCTTAATACGATATTATAGAAATGTTATGAATTCAATTCTTGCTGAAACCAATTTAAATGAAATTGTACATGGTAATATTTTAATGTGAAAATAAAATCCCGCCTACGCTTACATGTGAGAGAGTTGTATTAAAGATAATAATTAAATAACATATATGTGATCATCTCTAATAACTTAAACTTTTATATCAAGTGATTTTATATAATTTCAAAGTCATTTAAACTCAAACTAATAAAATTTATATAGAATAAAGATGACATATATTAAATGTCTTCATATCTTAATAGTCACCAAAATAGCTAGATAGACAAGTTAATATATTCTTGATGGAAAATTCAAAATTATCAAAACACTGTCGTTTCATGATTCATAAATCAAAAGATAGAGCATTTAGACTAAACACTTTAGAACATAATACTCGAAATACATTACATAGAAAACATACATAACCATGAAAAATAAAGACAACAACATAAATATTTATATTATATTATATTACATATTACTGTGGGGATTTTAGGAATTCCACTTGAGCCTTTCCACGAGGACCCCTAGTCCTGATATAGAGTCTGTATTCATTAAAAGTCATGCATGGATACAGTGGGGCATTATCCTCCGTGATGAGCTTCTCTGCAGGTTTTATTGGTATGTCACCCCTTGGATTGTAAAAATAAGCAAGTGAAACCCTCTCTTTCTCTGCATTCACTATCACTCTGTGCTCCACACTTCTATAATTTGCATTGCTGAGCACCTGTATATGTAAAAAATCAACCAAATATATTTATTTATAAAATATTAAAGGGGTATAAATACCTAGAATTTTTATATACGTACAAGAAATTTCATTTTCAACGACAAAACGTTTACAGGAAGTTTTTTCATATACTGATGTAGTTTTTTTTTTCCATTAGTTATGAAAATATTGTCCACCAAAGAAATACGTTTTTATATTGGAGTTTTGAGCTCAACCTTGACATAGTACAACTTGATTTAGACTGTTACACGTCTAGACGAGACAACTCTTGATATTTCTATTGCACCAGTTCTTTGGATATTTATATACAAAAGAAGGCTCGAATGGTCATCGAAGTATCAATGCTTCAATTTAAATGTTCATTTGTTTACTTCTCATCTTCATTCTACTATTTTCTTAATTTCCTTAAAAAGTTTCTAAGTAAGAATACTATGAAAAAATTCACTATAAAGATGCATTTTTTGGTGGCAAAGACATTTTTAAACTGTCATTGAACAAATGGTTGTCGAAAAACTTTACAAGTTTTCGTCGTTGAAAGTAATATTGCTTGTAGTAACTTGTCCACATGAGAGAAACAACATTAGCACATGTTTGGCTACAATTAATAATCGATAAAATCAATTGTATCCATATATTTCTAAGGATCCATAAATACTACCCACTTAATTCACCACTCTTTTCTATATATTATTAATTTAAATAGTTTATAAGCAACTCCTAAACATGCTTTAAATATGATAAAAATAAATAAATAAATAAATAAAATTGGGAGTCTAGAGAAAGAACCTGCAGCTGATCTCCTAAGTTGACGATGAAGGCATTAGGAAGTGGTTTAACAGTAACCCAGTTATTTTTATGGTGTACTTGTAGTCCTGATACATTTTCGTCCGGGAACAAAATGGTCATGCCACCTGGGTCAGAATGCGGTGAAATCCCTAATGTAAGGCCTGGTTGTGGGCATTTAGGGTAATAATTTACCCTTAAGCATGCACCAATGTTTTCATTTCCTCCAAATGCTTCTTGAAGGTAATTTTCTTTGAGCCCAAGATTTGTTGAGAAAATTTTCATCAGTTTTCCACCAAGTTCAACCACTTCTTTGCTGTACTTTTCAACCAATTCCCTGCAAGAATTAAAAGAATTTAGCATGTTCTCGGTAAGCTGAACCGCACGTATTAGACCCAAAAAAAATAAAAACCTAAAATCTTGTATATCGTAGTGTCCCGAGTAATTAACATTTCAAAATAAGTAATTGCAAGATGGAAAAACAATGAGAAACGTTGCTCCTTTGGTAGTTGCTCAAAATCTCAATTAGTTACGCCTATTCTGAGTTATAATTCAAAAATCCCATAGCAAATAATGTTTTTGTTTTATTTTTGGTATAATATCGTATAAGTTAGCTGGGCAATGAGGTAAATAATTAGCGTTGATTATGATAAAACTGTCGTCAACATGGACTACAGTGAGATGTTCCCTACAAGGAACAATACATGCCATTTCACATCTTTTGTTCCTTGTACCTTGGTGCTTCAAAAGTTGAATACACACCATGAGAGTTTCATATAATTAAGGAAATGATTCTCCGTTCTGTTGTTCCTGTCCAAACATATCAAACTTTTGTACCAAGATATCAAATTATAAAATAATTTTTTCTATGTAAGCAAATTAAAGGGGAACACCTTTTTATTTTTGTTACACTATATAAAAATGGCTTCAGGTACAAATTTACAGTTCCTAAAATCACAATATCCGTTGCTATTTACCAATAGAATATTACTAACCACATATTCGTTGTTGATTTGAGGGACGTTGCTGATGGTTGATAAATGATCACGCTGTAGGTAATGTGTAAACCTTTTACCAACAAATTTTCAGTTGGTAAAGTTGAACCTTCTATCAACGAAAATTCCATAAGTAAAAATTTTAACTTTACTAACTGATTTTCCATACTTTTAGCCAATTGAATTGAAAGGCCCAAAAAGTTTTTTGACCATTTATTGAACCACAAATTTATAGAGGGCAACTCCAAAAACTTTGTTGTGAACTTTAGATGTGGGATAAGAATTCCTTTGATTGGGCTGTAGTGTATTGCATCTTTAGTTTGACTGTAATGTATTGTACTGTTGTATAAATAATTATTTATATTATATTACCCATCAACCATGTATATTATAGGTGAATGATTGAATTTTTCAATTATTAGACTTGATTAATATCATCAATGGGTTTTTCGTGGATAATATGAATTAATCTTTATTTAAGAAATTTTCGTTGGTGAAGAGGTAGAATTAAAAAAAAAAATTTTTTTTTAATTATTAAAATTGATTAATATTAGCAACGATAATTTTGTTGATAATATGAACATCTCTTCACCCACGGAAAATTCGTGAGTGAAAGGTTGACAGTTTTTAGAAAAAAAAAAAGGTTGAATTACATAACCTACGAAATTGTTTTTAAAAAAAAAAAAAAAAAAAAGTTGAATTACATAACCTACGAAAATGTTGTTAGTAAATGGTACGTCTATTAAATAACAATATTAGGGAAAGAATATCCGTTGGTGAAGAGTTACTACTTTTACCCACAAAAATTTTAATTGTGATTAGCGTAGTTAAAAATCTAGTATCTTTACCAACGGATACAATTGGTTGGTAATTATCCATAGCTAAAGAGCTGAATTGTAATAGTGTTATTAATATAACAAGTTAGCTAGAGTCATTAAAAATTTATTTTACCTGCATGAAACCGGGAGTTTAGGCCATTTTCTCTCATCCCTGAGAGAAATGGGAAGATAATGTAGGAAAAAATAGTCACTCCAATCCAAAGAAACACCTTTTTCCACCCCAAGTCGACTCCCATACCCCTCATAAGTACTAGGAGAATTCGCATACTTTTGTTTCTCCTCAAGTGGGAGATGGAAGAATTCACGCCATGCCTCGCGTGTGGCCTCTATCAGCTGGTGGTGGACGCCGTGGTTCACCACCTGGAAGAACCCCCACTCACGGCAGGCGCTGTCCACCAGACTGGCGGTTGTCTGGCGGAGCAAGTCGTCGTCTGAGAACAAGTCCTGGAGGTCGATCACCGGAATATTCATTTCACTGATGGCAGATTCGGTGATCAAAGATGGTCTATCAGAGGGTTTTTTTACATAGCATTCTGGGATATCTTTTATCCCACTGTCCAGCAAATGCTGAACTCGGACTACTGGTTCTGGCCAGCTCTCTACGCTACTCATATTTCCCTCACACACTAGAAAGTATAGATATACAGATGAATATATAGAGAGAGGGAAAGAGGTGAGTAGGGTAGGGTAGGTAGGGTGGCGTAGGGGTTAAGGCAATGTAAACGACAAAACTCAAGTACAACGAAAGAAGTACTTTAATTTGCAGCAAAGGGGAGATATGAATCAAACTCAGGGTGATTATAAACGTGAAATGAACATCAAAATCAGCATATCATGTTGTGTGAGTCGGGCGGCTGCGGCGGCGGTGGAGGTTGGTTCTTAATGGATGAGAACTAAGTGGACACAAATATGGGGTCAATTTCGGGCGCCGTGAAGAATTTGAGTTGCTATTTTTTTCCTTCAAAATATCATGTAACAGAAAAGCAATTAATTAATTAATTATGCTTTATGTACCATTGCAACAATTATTTTAGTTTTTTAAAATAATATTATTTAATATTTTCTAATAAACACGTACCAAATATACTTATTGAAGACAATCATATTACTTTAGAATACTTAGCTCCAGTTTGACACTCATTTTATTTTTATTTTTTATTTTTTATTTTTATTTTTTGTGTAAAATGAGTTTCTTAAGAGTAAATTTTTGAAAAATGTGTAGTTTAAAAGTAGGAACATATCTTGGACTTACATGAAAAATATTTTATTATGAGAGTGTATGATGAAAAATGAGTATGAAAAAAAAAAAAAAAAAATTGAAAGAATGATCGTCAAATTGAGTTTTAGTTGTTCCAAATAAAACGAAAAAGTAGGGGATTTGGAGCGGAAATGGTCCGTAACGTCTATTTCTTGACACAGTCATCCCCAGTGTTTGTGTTTGGTGCATAAGAGGCCCCTTTTAATACAAATAAAAAGAGAGCAATATAACTTTAATTTAAATTGGAAAAAATGCAGCTAGGTCCTTGACCTTTGGAAAAAGTACATTAGGGAACTCAAATCTTTATTTGTAAATTAGCATAATAAATATGTCGTGAAAGTCATTTCAATTAAATATTTTAGAAGGGAAAAGATTTAAATGAGCGTGCTGTGTCTGTAATTGTTTTATGATGTGAATAAAAATTATGATAAGTAAATTAAAAATGATATATTTAATTTTATGATATTCAGCCATTCTTTTTGTGTTTTTTCTTAACATAAAAGTATTGATAAAAAGATTAATATACGAATCATGTTTTTTAGTTCATTATTGAATGATAATGAAAAGATAAATTAAATTATAAAGAATACAGTTGGAGCTTTGATGCACGTATTCAATAAATGAATAATTCAATCAAAAAAATGTATTTGAGGATCAAATTCGTGACACAACGTTGATTAACACGCTTAGTTAATTAATTATGAGCTTAAAAATGAGTTATTTCAATTTTGTTTTTATAAAAGAATTTTTATATATTATTAATGATTTGAAGTAAAAGTCAAAGAACTCGTTAGTTTTCTTTAATTTTTTTTTTAAATAAAAAGTAGAGGTACTAGATCCTTTTGCACCTTTTGAAAAGGTTAGGGATCCAAATGCAATTTCCTAATTAAAATTAAGGGTAAAACCACTTCTTATTTCTAAGTTTGAGCATTGTTTGAATTTAGTTGGTGTTTGTTATTGATTTAGCCCATTGTGACTTGTTTTGAAAAAAAGGAGTGATATTTACTTTGGATATATATTTTAGAATTTCTTGTATTGGAATTTGATTCAAGGCAGAGATTTGTTATAGTTTGACCCAAATTTTAGTGGGTATTAGAGTTTTGGTTAAAGCTGCCTTAAAGAAATCAAAATTATGAATTGGGAAGAAAAGTCATTGCATTTTCACTAGCTGATCACTCGAGAAACTCCTAGATATTTTCTTCAAAGACTTGTCGCTCGCCCGACGCTTGAGTAGCGAGCCATCGCCCACTTGCAGTTAGCCTGTTGCTCGAGCGACAAGATTATCCGCCCAAGCCCGTTTCGCTTTTGACACATTTTTTGGACTCATATTCATCTGCAACTTGATTTTTAGGGTTTGTATATATAAGTCTCAACTTGTATTGTTTCCATAATATTCATACAACATTTTGAGAGTTTCAGATCCTAATTGAGAATATTGAAATCATGTTGTAAACATAATTACTGTTGATTATAGTGAATTTCTCCTCATTTGTCTGTGATTTTTCCCATATTGGGATTCTACATAAATCTTGGCGTTCTTAGTTTGTTCTCATTTGTTTCATTATGATCATTATCTTACGCTCAATTCATAAGAGTACATGATCATTAATAGAATTTGATAGATATTTTTATAATTTTGGTGCTATTAAACGTATCAAATATGAATTCATAATTCAGGATTTGATGGGATGCCACTTCTTTTAATTTGTTGTTAATCATATTTTACATTAGAAGAAACTTTCTACTGTTTACATATTGTTAATTACTTAAATTCGCAAATTAACTTTATCATAACCATTTATTTTTAGATGTCCCCACTCCACACACACACACACACACACACGAACTAAATGAATATTTAGAGAAAAACATCCCTATAACGGACAATGATGAATATTATTTCTTCAAAAGGAGAAGGCCCCTACCTTCAAATTAATGCATAAATGGAATTTTCTCTGCTTAGGGTCTTAGGGGGGAATTTTCTCAGAACCCCAATCACATCATTTAATATGTCTCTACAAACATATCCATTTTTTCTTTTATAATTTCCAAACCTATGTTAATTTAAGAGACTAATTTTGAAAAAAAAAAAATTTGATCAAAGATAATTGTTTTACGCAACAACAATGCCAACATCAATAATATCAAATGTACCAAAGATACCCTTACTATCGCTTAAGAGCATATCTAAACGACTCTTTAAACATGAGATAGTCTTTATTTTAAATAGTCAATTGCTAAAATCATATTCTAAGAGACTCTTTAAATAAACATTTTAATTTAGAGAGTGAATTTTGGAGAGCCAAACCCCTTATCTATAATTGATTTTATTCAAAGTGTTTCAATTTTCAATGTAGAAAAATAATAAAATAATCTAAAGAAAAGTTGGTTAAAATAAATTTAGAGAAAAATAATAAATATTTTCTGGGAGTCGTAAAATTAAGTGCTAAATATAAAGAGTTTATTGGAATTCTTCAAAATTTTAACTCTCTAAATTTATAGATACTATCTAAATGATAGAATATTCTTTTGAAAAATAGAAAATCTCTTGAAGATAAATTAAAATCAACAATGTATATGGACATTTAATGGCCTTTTGGTGTTTTACTTACAAATAATGCATTCAAAAGAATATAGCATAAAGAAA